CCCAACTCAAAAAAAAAAAAAAATAGGTGTTCGCTGACCTTTGGCTTGGGCGTCAGTCTCCATGGTTTGGCTTCACCTGTGCTGGCCGGCTTCTCTCCAAGACCCGCAGATGCACCTAGGAAAAGACATCTGTAGAGCAAACAGCACCGGTCGCGCCCCCGCCCCATGGAGTCATGTGGGAGGTGAGCCCACAGCAGCCCTGGGTGGGGCCCAGCGAGGTGCCGAGATGCTGGCTGCTCCCTCTGCAGGCTCAGTGCTCTCTGCAGTGGCGGCTGGGCCAAGGCTGCTGGGTTCCGGCAGGAAGAGAGGGAATCCTTCCATGCAGCCCCCCTTCCTCCGGACGCTTTTCTAGCCGCTCACGCACGTTCATCGAGGGACCTTCCATTTGTGTCCTGTGCACTCCATGCAGCTACAGCATCGCTGCGTCCTTTGCCAGCAGGCCCAGGGCGCCTGGCCTGTCCAGGGGCATGATTCATCTTTGTATATTTCCAAAGCAGGGAGCCATCTCTTAGAAATTTATTTTTTAAATCTTTTATTGAAATCTAAGTGATAGTAATAGGCACACATCTTAAAGGTAGGGCTTAAGTTTTCTCATGGACACAGACCCGTGTCTTTTACATGTTTGTAATAGGGCGTCTACTAACTACTCATCCTGGGTGAAATTATAAGAAAGTCCTGATAATACCATTTTCAAAATAGATCAAGCCGGTACGAAACCCAAGGCTGTCCCGTGGGGCATAGGTCACGGCCAAAGCCCACTTCACGGGGGTTCCATCAGGGTCTGCAGACCTTGTCCAATATAAGGACCACATGGCTGCCCATTGCCATTCAGGTCCTCAGGGCCCAGCCTTGGCTACTCTGGCTTAGTAGGCTCTGGTGGGTCAGGAGGGTGTGCTTTTCATAAGCATCAGGCAAGAGTGATACTCAGGGCTCCACATTTAACCCTCACAACCCCGGGGAGGTTAAGGCTTTATTCCTATCTCGCAGATAAGGACACCGAGGAGCTAAGAGGTGAGTCAGTTACCCACTGGACAACTTGTAGGAAAGGGACCCAAGATCTGGTTCTTAATAGCTGTTCTGTGCCGTTTCCCATGTGCATGTCCTCATTTCCTAGCTTCAGAGGCTCCTTGAATTTGCGAGTGTGTCAGCTAAACCCTTCCTCTCCTGACAGTCAAGTTGTGCAACTCTTCCAACTAACAGCTGAGGAAAAGGCCACCCCAGGGCTCGTGAGTGAGGACAGCATCAGAGACGAGACTGAGCTTTTCCCCCGTGGCTCACCGGTGGCAGAAGCAGCCCTGGGAAATTGTGAAGCCTGCGCACTTTGGCTCCACTCCAGACTGACGGAGTCAGGAACTTGTGTGACCGTCCACCTGTGAGTCACAGGCCATCCACGCGTCTCTGGCAGGCCACAGTTTGGGAGCTGCTGACTTAGAGGCCAGCGTGTTGCTGCTGAGGCCTTGTGGCATCTCAGCCCATTGGGGCTGCTGTAGCCAAGTGCTGTAGGTGGGCAGTGTATAAAGAGCAGGATTGTACTTCTCGTGGCTCTGGAGGCTGGCAGGTCCCAGGTCAAGACGCCAGCAGAGCTGGGTCTGGTGAGGCCTTGATCTCCGCCCCACAGAAGGTGCCTGTCACTGCATCCTCACAGGCAGAAGGGCAGGAGAGGACAGACAGACACCCCAGTGTCTTCCACAGGGGCCCTGGCTCCACTCAGGGGATGAGCCCTCATCACCCAGGCACCTCCTGAAGGTCCGCCGCTCCATGCAATGGCCTGGGGAATGTTGCTTCAGCATGAGCTTTGGGAAAATGTGACATCCGGGTCATGGGCAGCGGGAGGATCTCCTCAGTGAGGGCGTGGTACTCTCCCACGGCTCTTCAGGGCATTGTGGCCTAGAGCTGTGCTGACCACGGAGGGTGTGTGCAGTCCCAGCTCCGGGCCCTCGTGGCGTGCTACTGCCTCCTTCCCAGTGTGACCTCTGTTCTCCCACTCCCCGCTCATGGTCAGCATCTCAGTGGCTGCCCACGGTCAGTCCCAAAGTCCTGGACAGGGTTTGGCATGGGCTCTATCCTGAAGTCCCTCACGGGGTCCCGCCTGGGGTCCGTCATGGGGTGATCCTGGGGTCCTTCACAGGATTTGTCACAGGGCCTGTCCCGGGGTCCATCCTGGGGTCCGTCAGGGGGTCCTCCCAGGGTCTGCCACGGGGTCTGCCAAATGCAGTTCTGGAAACCCGCTCCCTGGCTGCATATCCTGGCTGTGCCGTGTGCTGGCTTGGCGCCTCGGGCGAGTTCTGCCCCGAGTCCTCCTCTGTCTGTGGACAATGTCCGCACCTGCTAACAGACCATCAGGAGGGTCACATGAGATGGTCAGAGTGCCCAGAATAGTGCTCAACACACACTGAGTGCTGAATCCACACCATGGCCATCACTCTTGTTTTTTAACCCCTTTTCCATTTGTGGGTTTGCAGGGTGCTGGCTACATTTTTTTAAACAACTCCATTACACTGAAAATTTGTGGCCAACTAAACTTCACAGGTCACCATTACACCACTTTCTTAAAAAGGTTGTTGGAAGTCTACCCCATGAGCAAAAACTTTAAAAAGTGTGCAAACAAGTCTCAAAAAACACCTTGAAAAATGGAAAACAATTGCATTTACTGGTAAAGAAGGAAAACACTATTTTGCTCTGTCAGACGTGGCAGACCTGGGCTCACACGCCAGTCTGGCCCAGGCAGCCCTGGTTTGCCGGCTGTGTGGTCACGAGTCCATGGCTTCTCTTCCCTGGCCTCAGTTTCCTGATCTGAAAAGGAGGACCATGATGTCTACTGCAGTGTGACTCTGAAATTAACATAGGATGGATCTGTTAGTCAGCCATCACGAAATACCCCAGGCTGGCTGGCCTGAACACGGAAATTTGTTTTCTCATAATTCCAGAGACTGGAAGTCCAAGAGTAGGTGCCAGCGTGCTTGGGTTCTGGAGAGGGCTGTCTTCCTGGCTTGTGGGTGGCTCCCCTCTGGTCTGTGCATGGCCTCTTACTGAGCGTGTGAGGAGAGGGTGTGCTCCTGGTGTCCCTTCGCACGAGGACACCGATCATGTGGTGTCAGGGCCCATGTGTGACCCTCACTAGCTCTTTAGGGGCCGCATCTCCAAAGAGAGCCCCACTGGGCTGAGCGTTTCCGTGCGTGAACCTGGGGAGACACAAGCTGTGGCAGTGACACGTGTACAGCCTTCTTAGCGTGATTCCTGGCACACAGCAGGGCAGGCAACTGGAAGTCCCTTCTCTTCCTGGAGCAGAGCCAGGAGCTTTTTCGGAATGTCAGAGACAGTCTCCCCTTGCCCAAAAACCGGCTCGGACTGCAGCCAGTGGGAAACAGGTTTCTTCCGAAGGGAGTTCCTCCCTCAGACAGTGCGTGGCTGGTTTGTGTATTGGCTGGGGTTTTTCCATTTAGGCCCAGGCACCTCTAATGTGTGTTTTTCTGGAAGATAAAAATGTGATTGTGTTTCACATCAGTGGCATCGGAACTGCTCACGACATGTTCTGGGGTCACCGCCCTCAAAGAGGTGGACAAGCAGCCAGCTCCCTCTCCTGCCACAAGCCTCCATGGTGGCCGCGTGGTACGATTTACAGCGGTGCACTCAGGAGTTTACAAGCATGTTGTAATTCTAGCTCTCTCATCCCTCAGCTCTTTGTGAGTCCTTGGGAAACACTGTTTGCTTAGCCGAAGTTTATTTGATATTGCTGAGCATTAAAAAAGAAAAGGTATACTTGCCCATATGGAGTTAAAGTGTTTGGTTTTTGTCACTGTCGTCATAATTGGCGAATGAGGTGGGTCTACAGAGAGCAAGGATTGAGCTCGCAGTGTTTCTGGAATTCCAGAGGAGGCTTAACCCAGAAATTCTGCACACAGAATCCCAGCGGTGGTGGAAATTTTGGAAACACGAGCTTGTTAAGAGAGTGACACTGCTCTGAGCCCCACTGGTAACACACAGGCCCAAGAGAAGGCGCAGGTGGCCTTGGGAGCGACAGTGGCTGTACACTTTCTACTCCTAGGCCACTGGACAAGAGGTGTTTCTCTTGATGGGTAATCTTTGGTGCCAGAGGAGCCAACCCTTTCTAAGTGCTAAAAGTAGTTGCTGCCTCAGGCCAGCCTCAGAAATTTTAGGAGCTCTTTTGCCAGGGAAATTTGACTAATTGCATTTGCCAAACACTAAGTCATAATCAGCCTATGGTTTTCTGGCTGGGCCTGGGGCAGCCCCACTCTCCGGACATGTTCCGTGGGCGTTCCCCGGTGGGCAGTCCCACTCTGGGGGAAGGTGGGCGTGTTCCATGGGCGTTCCTGGGGGTCAGCCTCACTCTGAGGAATATGGGAGTGTTCTGTGGGTGTTTCCTGGGAGGCAGGAAGGTGGGTCTGCTTTCCTAGGGGTCCTGGAGGGAGAGCAAATGGGTCAGTGGTGTCTTCTGTTTCGCACAGTGACTGATGGGACCAAGAGGGTATATGTGGGTGCTCAGCATAGGACCATATACGACATACCATCGACAAGTGTTAGCAAGTGTTAAGGTCACTAAGAACAGTTGTAATTGGGCGTAAATGACTCTGCAAGTAGTGCTGCGCTCTATCAGGGACTTCTGGAGTCTTAAGTGGAAGTCATATGCTACAAGGCCCGAGCTCAGTGCAGGCCTGGCCTGTCTGGAGGAGGGAGAGTAGAGGGATGAGGCCAGAACACACAGCTCCCGCCCCAGGCTGGTCCCCCTGCGACTGTGGCACCTGTGGGCAGGAGGCCCGGGCACGGCTTCCTCTGGGGCAGGAATGTCAGTTCCACTGAAGAAACTTTGCAAAGGCTCCTGTGAGTGGCCCACATCGTGGTTGGGGCTGGTGGTAGGGGGGCTTTAAAAAGCAGCACGTGAGAGAGACGAAACGCCAGGTGTTCTAGGAGCTGATTGTGCAGGTTATTTCCCAGTGAAATGGGACTGATTTTATTCCTTCCCATAACGGAGACACTCCTGAAGATCTCTTTATACCGTGTCTTCTACACGCCCTGTGATGTGTGTTGAACTAATTAAAGCACAGGAAGGCAAGAGAATATATTAGAGTTAATTAGAAGGCTCAAAATGTACTTAAAGTCACAGCTCTAAGAGCGCTAGGTAACAAAGGCAGTTCACTTCAAAGGAGAAGCTTGCCGAACGTGGACTGTTGAGACGCCAGCCCGTGAGTAAGATGCAGGTCTTGTTCCCCTGTGGAAAAGCGCGTACAGGGACACCCGCAGGCTCCCTCAGGCTCCTTCTGTGGCCTCCTCCCCACTGTGGCCGGAGGCAGAGGTGGCCCTTTCCGGGCATGAGGGCGAGAGCACAGGTTCGGCGGTCGTGTGGACCCAGGTTCGGATCCTGGATGCTAATCCGGGAGCCCGGGCTGCTGCTTGACGTGTAGAACCAGGGCTTCCTTGGGTGTAAGGTGGCACTCACAAGATGCTTTCAAAGGGCTGCCCCAGGCTGAGGTGAGAAGTCATCAGCACGGCCCTCCACGGAGCATCTGCTCGCCTCCCTCCACGTGTCACCAGGAGTGTGGGAACGCTCACCGGCCTCGGGAAGTCCACCCAGATAGCACCACCGCAGAGCCAGGGCCGTGCCCATGCCGTTTTGCCGCTCATTCTCCTGCACTAAGTGGGACTTGGCTTGCCGCGAATGTCCCTCAGTGATAGCGACGGCTGAGACGAGGGAACCCGCCCGACGTCATTGCCACACGCGGGCGAATGAAGTCACGAAAGCAGCCGCGAGGCAACTGGTTGGCTCTTCCTGGCTGGGGGGGAGGCCTCCACCGGCAGGCCGGCCTTGCCGTAACCCGTGGCTCTCACTCCCCTCCTCGAGGGTCTCTTGACAGCCGGACTCTGGGAGGGTGGTCCTGGAGGGCAGCATCTGAGGTCGCCAGAGCCGTGAGGGGGTCTGCCCAGCCGCTCTCGCTTCTCCTTTGCGGCTCGCCTGTGGCATCTGCTGGAGGTGCCGTCACAGCAACTTAGGAGCATAAGGGTGTGATCTCACTCGGCAACCAGTCGCCCAACGTGTGATTCGACTAACATGGCCGAATCTGTATGCTGCACCTGTTTTCGTTTTAATTAAGGATATTAGTAAGAATGTTGTATAAGAACATTTTCTGTAGCATCCTCCAATACCTCCCCAGAAACTAAACTGATGCATAAGCATTTCTTGTGAGACAGGTTTTTTTGTTTTGTTGTTTCTCTCAAAGCCAGTCAAGCTAAGGGCATATCAGAGGACCCAGAGGCAAAACGCAGTGTGAGGTCCCTGAGTCTTGGACAGAGACCTGACCTAAAAGTGGTCTCGTCGTGCTGCCGACCTGAGCCTCATGGAACCTGCCACTTTGGGCATTTAAAATTTTAAGACGCAGACACGCTCTACTTGCTTTTTTTTTTTTAATCTGGCTTTGGGACCCTTTGTAAACAATTCTTTAAGTTGGATTCATGCTGGCCATGGATGTGAAATCTTACCTTGTTTGAAAGAACAGTCAACTTCTATCCCCCAGACCAGAAAAGGTAACTGACTCCCAGGACAGCCAAGTTACCACTGAACGCTGGTTGCTTTCAGATTTTAAAAAAGACACAGGCAATGGGGGTTGGGCCGTTCTCATGAAACATCCCAGGGACCTTTCAGAATCACTTTTTCAGGGCTGAAGTAATCTGGAAATCAACAGTTTGTGGATGTAAGCCCAGGCTCTCTGGATTTAGCCTGAGCTTCTGCTTTGTGTGGTTGTGGTCATGGGTGGGGGTCTGTGGCGTCGTCAGCCTCGGGCCTCTTGGGAAAGAGGACACAGTTCTCTTTGTGTTCTAGCCATCCATTTGGCCTACTGAGTGCTCGCCACATGCCCGAACTGCTCTAGGCACGAGGGATACAGCAGGGGATAATCAAGTAAAAATTCCTGCCCCGGTTAAATGTATGTTCCAGTGGCAACAACGGCTGGGATTGTATCTCCTGTGCCAAGTGCTGCTCCATGCAGTACCCGAGTATCAACTCGTTCAGCCCTTACGACGCCGCCGTGAATTGGGCACACTGACGTGGCTTGGGTACTTCTCCCTCCAGATCGCCTGTTGAAAGTGCCCCCGTGTTGTGGGGGAGGGGCGTAGGTGACTGGACCGTGGGGGCGGGGCCCTCATGAAAGAGTGGCTGCTGTTCTTGAGGCGTGAGTGAGGGGTTCTTGCTCTGTTCGTTCACGCAAGAGCTGGTGGCTTAAAAGAGCCGGGAACCTCCTCTCCCTCCCCTGCTCCCGCTCTCCCCATGAGACGCGCCTGGTTCCTCGCCTTTTGCCACTCTGGGACACCCAGTTCACCTCACAGACACAGCCCGGGGTGTGGAAGGGAACTGGAGGACCCGGAGGAAACCCCCGTGGAGGCAGGGAGAACGTGACAGTGGCTCTTGCAGGAGTGGGTCTTTTTCTCATCAGCATTGTAACGCGATACTGTTGAACAGGATGACATTATCCGAGGACTGGCTGTATGTGTTACCTAGAGAAAATCTTAAGAATAAAAAAAAAAGTGAAGTCACCCAGGAAGTTGCTTTATCCTCTGCTGGTCTGTTTCAAGCTTTTCTTTTACATAGACGCGTTCCGAGCACTTCCAGGACTTTTCCGTGGATGCATATGCACTTTCCCACGCTTGCACGTAGTATTTGCAGAACAACATCAGGGCCTGTGATACTCTATCCAGAAGACTCACACCTAGATGATACAGTGAGCCACCAAGGCATTCCCCGGGATTAAAAAGAAGCTAATAGGGGGGTCTGGCTTCTTCACCCAGGCTGGAGAGGAGGGCTGCAGGCACGGAGCGCACCTGGATCCCACAGCAGGCTCATGGCTCGAGTTCGCCTGGCAGCCTGCATGTGCTTTAGAAGGCGGGCCATCCGTCCCACAGGGCTCGCTGTGCAAGAGAAAGCAAGCTTGGGGACTTCCCTGGGGCCGTGTGGAGTCCGGAGGCAACCAGCCCTTTGCCTGAGGGGGTCTCTCTCCTCCGTGTCGGGTGGACGCCTGCCCTGCTTGAGTGAACGGCCACGTGTTGCTCTCTGTATTGAGGGACAAGGCTGAGGTGCAGACTCCCGGGGAGAGTGACGCTTCTCCGCTACCCTGGGGAGTCTGTGCCCCGTGTCGGCAGCAGTGCAGGAGCCACAGGCCTGGCCCCTGTCCGGAGGGGGCGAGGGGGTTCCTTGGCTTCACGTCTGGCCATCAGAAAGCATTTGTGCGGAAGTCACGCGCTGTCCCGAGCGCAAGTTCTACAGTCAGCATGAAATCTCATGTGGCGAAAGTCTTTCCTGGACGTCCCTTAGGCCTCCCTGAAAGTGCAGTCGTCGCGTTTCTTCCCCAGGTCACCCGCACCGCTCAGCTGAGTTCCAGGCCTGGCGGGTGCTGGGGGGGCAGGGGGAACGGTGGTGAGAAGCCCCAGGAGCACACTCGCCACAGCCTGTGCCCCAAGCCACGAGAGGCGCGAGACTCAGCTGGCCCCGACACAGAGCCACCGCTGCCTCCAGTTCGTGGAGACAAGCGTGTGTGTGCGTGGACCGCAGGAGAGAAGTCCACACGGCATCCATGCTCTCTTTCCTCACATGTGTTTGTTTCCTTTTCTTTCTGGCGAGGGAGCGTAAGTGACTCAAAGGCACGTCATTCGCCTCCTCTGCACGGTCACCCGAGGCGCTGCTCTGGGCACACTCAGCCTGGTTCTGCCGGCGGAGAGGGGATGGCCAAGGGAAGGGTGTCGTGGACCCGTTCGATTCCAGACCGGAAGAGCGGGAGCCAGCTGCTCGTCTGGAGCTGCCACGGGCTGTGTGCTGGGTGCACAAAGTGGCCTCCACCCTGACGGCTTCTCCTTCTCTCCCTCCCCCGTTCCCTCCCCTCTCCCCTCCAGGTTAGTCTACTCAGGCCCAGGAAAGGGATCCCCCCCGGCAGTCACGGATCTGTCCTTCGCCACGCGGACGGGCACCAGGCAAGGGATCGAGATGCATCTCTTCAGGGCGGAGACCAGCAGGGACCTCTCTCACTGGACAAGGGGCATCGTGCAGGGCTGCCACCACTCTGCAGAACTCGTGGCCGAAGTCACCGCCGGTGAGTGCCACGGGCCACCAGGGACAAGCGTCTGGCAGGACACGTTCCCAGCTCCACCCGGCCCCAAAGGGGCTTCCATGACTGGCCTCTTGGGGACTTAAAGTTCCAGAGATAAATTTAAGTTCTCCTACGTTAAGGTGGCATATGTCCTACTGAGGTATGCCCTACAGTTTTGATGATAAAAAGTCTTACCCCAGCTTCATTCTAGAAAAATTGGTAACTCGATAGTTGTCATTTTCCTACCTGTAACTCAGGGGGGGCTTCCTGGGGAAAGGGGCTTTGAGGCATGAATGAATGGGGTGCTAGGTCACGAACAGCAGAGATGGATCCTGAGCAAGATGTCCCCACATGCATTTGTTGGAGCTCTGTCAGGCAGCTCGCAGGATCCCTGGACGACTGGGGCGCCGGGCTGTGAAAAGAACAGGAGCCACAGCGTCTAGGTGCGGGGAGGCCTGGGACAGGTGGGCAGGGCCCCCCCGGCGCGGGTGGAGGGGCAGGGGGGACGGAAGGAGCAGTGGCCAGGCCCACATGGCGTCTCCGGAGGGACGAGTCATGGAGGTGGGGGTCTGCGCAGAGGGAAGAGCCGCCCGCACCCTCAGCGCGCTGAGCGTCTGCTCTGTGCCGGGCACGTCACGTGGCGTCTCCCGGTGTCACTTGTGTGGTGAAAGACAACCCTCGGATGAGGCCTGAAATCGGTTCATCTGGGGAAGACGAACATTTTAAAAATGAAATAAGCTGGAAAACCGGCGTAAACATTTTATTGTTCCATAGAACGTGTGATTCAGGTGCGTGTGCTGCCCACCTCATCTAATCTGTACAATGCCCTCGCCAACCTGACTGACCGGGCAGCACATCCGGAAGAAAGGTTAAGGAACCGGCTCGAGGTCACACAATTAAAAAGTGCAGAACAGACTTTAACTCTTGGTTGTGTCACTCCGAGGTCCGTTCTTGGTCAACTGTCGTTTCTACAGGGACACAGAACTTGCCACTGTTAGGCCGGGGATCCAGCAAATGCGAGTTCTGCTCAAGCTGCCGTGATAACTTTCATGCCACTCTCCCAAACATTAGATAGATAGATGAGAGAGAGAGAGAGAGAGAGAGAGAGAGAGAGAGAGACAGGCAGTAAGTGCCCTACATATGAAGCTTCAAGTTGCGAACTTCAAAGACGTGAACATGAGTTTACGTGTCCAGTCACATTAGTTCATGTGTTCAGTGTACATTGTCACGTGCATGCATCCTCTACGAGTAGCTGTGCTTTTGTGTAGTTTACAGTACTGTATAAAGTACAGGAGTACAGTATCTTTATTTCAAGCCCAGGATGTCTGGAAAAAATGTAAAAGAGGCAGTGATGTAGCTGGTACTGTCAAGAAGCACCAAATGATAACAGCAGAAACAAAAGTGAAAACACTTGGGACAGGGGAGTGGGGCAAAAAGACAGTAGGTGTTGCTCATTCTTACTGAATCATTCAACCATCGGCATGATGCTAAAGAACACGGACAAGATCACGGAGCACGTGAAGTGGGCTGTGCCGATGATGTCGACCATCATTTGGAAGAACGTGGAAAAGTGATGGAGGAGGCGGAGAGACTTCCCACACCTGAGTCAAGTCCCACTCGGCTCGTTGCTGATTCAAGAGAAAGCTAAAAGCCTTTATGAAGACCTGAAGAAGCAGCACAGCGGAGAATCAGAGGGCGCCTCTTCGAATGCCAGCCATGGCCGTTTGCGTCCGTTCAAGGCTAGAGCCAACCGTCACAAGGTAAAAGTAGGAGGCAAGGCAGCGAGTGCAGATACAGTAGCTGCCTGGGAGTTTCCTGAAATGCTTCAAGAAGTGACCAATGAAAGTGTATATTTGCCTGAGCGGGCTTTTAATGTGGATGCATGCGACAGGACTGTTCTGGGAGAGGATGCCTGACCGAAGTGACATCAGTAAGGAGGAAAAGTTGATGCCAGACTGTACAGCAGCAAAGGAGAGGCTAGCTCTGTTGTCTGGTGGCGATGCCGCCGGCGACGTGAAGCCGAAGCCTCTCTTGGTTTATCATGCGGAGAACCCAAGAGCCCTTGAAAGCAAAGCCAAGGCTCTCCTCCTGTCGTGGGGACGAGGAGCCCCAGAGCCTGGGTCTCACAGGCCACTCGCCAGGACTGGCTTTTCCGCCACTTCATCCCGAGGTGGAGGAACGTTGCCTGGAGAAGGGCGTCGCCTTCGGCATTCCTTGGCCTCTCCACAGTGCTCCGGCCGCCTCCCACTCATGGACGACCTTCACCCTGATGTCAAAGCCGTGCATCTGCCACTGAATGCTACGTTGCTCATCCAACCTATGGGCCAAGGAGTTACAGTGACTTTCAAGAAATATCATTTACAAAGAGATGCAAATTAAAACCACACTGAGATACCACCTAACTCCAGTCAGAATGGCCATCATCAATAACTCAAAAAATAACAGATGCTGGAGAGGATGCGGGGAAAAGGGAACACTTCTGCACTGTTGGTGGGAGTGTAAACTAGTACAGCCTCTGTGAAAAACAGTGTGGCGATTCCTAAAAGTTCTAAAAATCGACCTTTCATATGACCCCGCAATCCCCCTACCGGGAATGTACCCAGAAGAACTCAAATCACTCTATAAAAGAGATACCTGCAAACGTATGTTTATCACAGCATTGTTCATAACAGCAAGAACATGGGACCAACCGTGCTGCCCATCAAAAGAGGACTGGATAAAAAAATGTACATATACACAGTGGAATATTGCATAGCCATAAAGTAGAACAAAATCATGAACTTCACAGCAAACTGGATGGAATTAGAGTCTATAACACTGAGTGACCTCTCACAGAAACAAAGATCTGAGTATCACATGTTCTCACTCATAAGTGGATCTTGAATAACTACCGTAGTACTAGAAGGAAAGGATGGACAGTGGCGGAAAACTATGGAGGGGAAGGGAGGTGGGATTAACAATAGTCAATAACTGTCTGGGGACGGGGGGGCACACCTCATCAACAAGGGTACCTGCACAGTGAATATTTGTATACCTAACCCTTAACTGTACCCCACAATTTTACAATAAAAAAATATTTTAAAAAAAGAAATATCATTTACATCACACTTTTCATCAGGCAGTAAAGGTGAGTGATGAATAAGGAATAAGCTGGGACAATTTTGGAAGGACTGTAACACCCACAAGGCCACAAAAAACAGTGACTTTGGCTGAGGTTAGAGCTGTCACCATGAATGGGGTTCGGAAGCAGCTTTGCCTGCCTGCAGTTTGTTCACAGTTTCCACGGGTCTGAGAAGGTGGGCGAGGAGTCCAAGGTGGTCTTCAGCCACTCAGTGACCCTCAGCAAGAAACTGGAGCTGCAAGAGGATGGCTCTACAGAACTCCTTGCCGTGTGATGTGAGGAGCTCACTAATGAAGACCCGATGGGCGGGTGGCCCAGAGAAGGACGAAGAGAGACAAGAAGAAGAAGTAATGAAGAGCCGAAGAGATTCTCGATGCAGGGAACGGCAAGGGGGTGCTCTTTTTTTTTTTGGAGTCTCACTCGGTCGCCCAGACTGGAGTGCAGCGGCCGCTCCCGGCCACCGCAGCCTCGACCTGCTGGGCTCCAGCGATGCTTCCGCCTCAGCCTTCCAAGTAGCTGGAACTACAGGCACACTCTACCACACCCAGCTAATTTTTTGATTTATTGTAGAGATGAGGTCTCGCTGCCCAGGCGGGTCTCGAGCCTGCAGGCTTGGGCAGTCCACTCAGCTCAGCCTCCCAAAGGCGCGGGATTACAGGCTGAGCCACCGAGCCCGGCTGGGGGTGCTCTTTATTCGAGGAGTCACGGTCAGCTTCCGAGGCACAGGACCCGAATGCAGAACCGCATGTGAAGGTTGCAGCAGCCATTCCGAATGCAGTCCAGTGCTCGCGCGTCATCTATGATGAGAAAAAGAGCTGCTCTCCAGACATCACCGAACCGCGTTCAAGAGGGCAGGTAGAATCGAATCCCGCCAGGAACCAGAGCCTGAGCTGTCAGCATCAGGCGTGAGTGAAACGGCGGCTGGCCCTCCGTCCCCTGCTGCCGACGATCCTTCAGCTCTGCCATCTCCCACCTCCCCTCCCTCCTCCAGACAGTCACTCTCTGGCCTGTTCGCTCGATGCCAGCTCCTGGGTGCCAGCGGTTGTCCTGTACTGTACTACTGTGCTCTTCAGGATACTGCAATGCAACATTCAAATGTTTTTCTTTATTTTTTGTGTCTGTTTTGTATGTGTTATTCCTGTGAAAAGTGTGATAAACCTTTCACAGTACGGTCCTGTATAACCGATTGTGTGAGTTGGGTACCTAGGCTAACTTTGGACTTACAAACAAATTGGAACTTATGAACACACTCCCAGCACAGCATTCGGTCATATGTAGGAAACTTACTATAATGATAGTTAAAGACAGATGATAAATAGGTATCAAAACAAACTTATATAAACATAGATGCTTTAACATGTTTGACTGGACAAAGGTAAGATAAGAGGCTGGAAAAGCAATGTGGACGCTAAGGTAATGTTAATAACGACACGCATGCCTTAAAATGTTGTGTGTTGCCTGGTAGACTCTGCTTAACCCAGTGCTTTCCTTCAGTCAGTGCAGCCTACAGCTCAGTGTCTGTAGTGCTATTGTTGCTAAACGTAGCCCTAAGGCAGGTTGGTTCTGGTTCTGAGATCCGAGGCCTACCTCTCCCAGTCTCAAGGACACCAAAAGGGCCTTACATGGCCTGGTAGCTAGTGCCACGACCACAGTCTTCCAGTAAGTCTGACCCCGAGCTTTTAGGGTTGCTTCTGAGAACGTCTGCTGTGTGTCATCTTCCATCATGCTGTTTTCATGCTTTCTTGCCTGTTCCTTCACTTCTCTCTGTCTCTGAGAAGCAGGACCAGACTACCGTCTGGTGGGCGGCTGGTAGGACAGACAGGCCTGGATTCAAGTCCAGTTCTACTTCTTCCTTGATCACTTACTGAATTTCTTAGCTTCT